GGCTCCGGTAGGAGCTGAGCATGTTCATTCCAGCTTGCCGGGGCTCTGGCAGCCTGGAGAAGGCAAAGCTTTAGAGTTGCTCTTTGCTGCGTTAGTGTGCCTGAGGGGATGCCCAGGAGGATGCAGCAATGCCTGAAGGGATGCAGGGATGCCCATGAGGATGCCAGAGGGGTCTCCCATGCCTGGGAGGATGCAGGGATGCCTGAGAGATCTCCTGTGCCCGGGTGGACACAGGGATGCCTGGGGAGACGCCCAGGAGGATGCAGAGATGTTTAGGAGGATGCCGGAGCGGTTTCCCAATGCCTGGGAAGATGCAGGGATGTCTGAGGTGATGCCAGAGGGGTTTCCCACCCCAGGAAGATGCAGGGATGCCCAGGAGAGCCTGTCCCTGTGAAGAAATCGCAGCTTTTGCCAGCAAGCAAAACCCTGCGTGGGGCCACCGTCCGCATCACCCGTCGCAGGGGCAGGGCTGGCAGCCAAGCCTGTGTTTGGTGCAGGTTGCCATGGTTGGCCGGCGTGGCCAGCAACCGCGGGAGATGGAGCGGGACGCTAACAACATAAAACTGCGCCCAACCCCGACCGCAGCGCCCTGCCAAATTGCCTGACTAAGCCCCGAGGCTTAGTCAGGATTGTTAATTATTGTAATGGACGTGGCATCTTTTCTTTTTTCCTTTGCCCTCCCGCTTTAACGTCACGATCATGTGCCTCGTTGCTTCCATGAGAAGCAACCCCAGGGAGATGCAGGAGCCGTACCCAGCACTGCTGCAGGTCGCCAGCCTGCCCAAGGGTGGCCAGGGCAGGTTTTTATATAAAACCTGTTAATGGGCTTTTACCCCACCCCCCAGCCCCCTGGAAGCACCCATGGGTGCTGTGCCCACTAGCTGCGGTGCACCATGGGTACTGTCGGTGAATTTGGGGGGGGAGATGCCCTCGGGATGTGCGTTTCCCCATCCTGCGGGAAGATGCCACGTGGCTGCCGGCTGAGCCAGAGGCTGGGCGCGCCGGGGGGAGTCATCCCTGGGGCATTTGCCCAGGTTTGGGGTGTCCCTGGCTAGAGACGGGTGCTTCGGCAGTTCCCGCAGACCCAGTCCCCAAAGGCAGAGGAGATTCTTCTGCCCGGGCGAAGGCACCAGCCCTGGGAGGGGATGGATCGTGCCCCGGTCACACCCCAGCTGACTAAGGAGAGCCCGAGGGAGTGGATCAGCCTCTTGCCGTGGTTCCCACCCCAGGAACTGCTGAGGAGTCCGAGGACCTCCCTCGTTCTCCTTTTTCCCAGCCTGGGGCTCCGTGTTTTTCCCTTAATTTGCCACTAGGCTGGGCTGGAGGGTGCCACGGGCATCTCCTCTGTACGGGGTGGGACCTGCCACCCCACT